AAATTGCCGCCGGATGAGGGAACAGAGGCACAGAAGGAGAGGTGTCGGAGCCGGAAGCGCCTGCGAATTGCTGCACCGGCAGCCCCTCCTCCTTCCAGCTGAATGATTGACCGGGACACCCTGTGAATGTTCTTCTCTCACCAGCCTCCCTGAAGCCCCTACTCTCACCCCGGGTGGGAGGCAGCCCATGGCCTCTCTGGGCTCTCCCGCCTTGGGGGAACGCCAGGAGAGGATGCGTCTGGTGTGCACTCGAAGTCGGCATTCCTCCACTGCGGCTACCACAGGAGAAGGAAGAGGACTCAAAATTGCCAGCAAAGGCGACTTTTATAGGAAGAAGGGCAGGAAGCCCTGTGATGACGGATGACGATCATATGCCCCCCGTCACGTCTCGCCGCCACGTGGTCGACATCGCGAGTAGGGGGGTGGGCGCGGGACACGGGCCCACTTACTCCCCTGCATTCCCACCCCCTCAGCCTTCTCCCAGGGACACACAGGGGACCCCCCCCCACCCCCCCAGGCTGGGCCTGGCAGCCGCAGATCTCAGGGATGAAGCAGGGAGCCGGGCTCTGTGGCCTGTCCCCCCCCCCCAGGTCTGAGTAGGGGGCGTGAATTATCTTGCTTGTTCCACACCCACGCCCCAACTACCTCGTCTCTCTCGGCTTCTTCCTCTCTTAACTGTCTTCAAGATAATTTTTATTTTTTTTTTTTTTTTTTTTTTTTTTTAAAAATGTTTACTTAATTTGGAGAGAGAGACAGAGGGAGAGGGGAGCAGAGATCCTGCAGTAGCCTAGGGTTAAACAAGCACAGAGCCGATGCAGGGCTGTCCCCCTGAGACCAGGGAGATCATGGCCTGAGCCAAAGTCCTGCTTTAACTGACTGAGGCCACCCAGGTGTCCCGGCCTTTTTTGCATAATTTTAAATTACAACCTAACTCAACTCTTCTGGTGAAATGGATGGGATACGGATTTATCCGCAATTTAAGATGACGGGGCACCCGGTGGTCAGGGTTGGAAAAACTGACTTCAGCCTGCAGGTCATGATCTCTGGTCGGTGGGGTTCAAGCCTTCGCCGGGCTCTGTGCTGGACAGCTCAGAGCAGCCTGCTTTTGGGATTCTGTGCCTGCCTCCCCCTCCTGCTCACTTTCTTTCTCTCAAAACCCTCTCAAAATAAAAATTTAAAAAAAAACTTTTAAAGATGAGGCAAATGGCCCCACCCACAGAACCCCTCCACCCCCCCCACCAAAGTAAACTTTAGAACTCAGTGAACAACTTACAGGTCCCACGGGTGAACTAGCCTGCTTTCGGGTCATTGCCCCATAGACCCACGATGCCCATTCTACAGATCACTTTCTGCAGCTCAGGGGAGATTGAGTTCCTGTCCCAGGCAGCCGACCCTAGACTCGAAGCACGCGGGTCTGTCTAGTCCCAAAGGGCAATGTCTTCCCCAACTGGACTGGCCCCGCCCAAAAAAGAACCGGGCCTGGTGCTTTGCCTGATAATTCAAAGGAATCGCTGGGGAGGCAGATCAAGGGGTTTTTCCTCCCAATCTCTGAGAGATGTGGGAACTGAGGTTCTGGAAGGGTTCACACAGCAGTGAGGCAGAGGCTGGCTTGAACTCGGGACCCTGGTCCCAAGGCAGCACTGTTACCGGGGGCACAACGCATGGGCAGGTGGGGGAGCCACCCCAGCCACATGCAATACTCTGCCCACACACCGGCCACTAGCCATGACTTCGTTACCTTACCAGGAGCTACTGCATACCCGTCAGCTTACCATGGGTTGGACTCAACACGGGTGGGGTCAGATGGAATGTAGGGACAAAATCCCCACACCCACCTCAGTTACTCCAGCAAAACCCGCCACAACACCTCAGACAAGGGAGGGGGCAAGTGTCAGTAAACCATTTTAAGATGCCACCTCTGGGGCCCTGGGTGGCTCGGGTCGGTTAAGACCGACCATTACCAGGTCATGATCCCCATGTTGTGGAGTTCAGCCTCGGTTTGTGTTGACAGCTCGGAGCCTGGAGCCTGCTTCGGATTCTGTCTCCCCCCTCTCTGTTCTCCTCCCTCCCACTCCCACACATGCACGCATTCTCTCTCTCTCAAAAAAATAAATAAATATTAAAAACATTTTTTTAAAGATGCACTTTCCTCATCAACCCAACAGCCTGCCCTGCATCTGGGGAGACTTTTCCCCCATGACAGGCTGAGTTTGCTTCCTGCTCCCCTGAGGGTTGCCCCTCAAGAAGCCTCCTCCCCCCCCCCCCCCCCCCCCACTTACACGACGGTTGGTCGGCCTGGACCATAGGGTCTGGTCCTGCAACCAAGCCCGCATGGACATGGACGAGATGTACTTCCTGAACCTGCAAGACGAGGAAAGGGCATGACTCCCCTTATTCATCCCAGGCGCTCAGCCAACGCAGGTGGGGGGCTAAGGGACAGGTTTGGGTGATGACGGGCTTCTAGGAGACAGGGACCCAGGGAAGGCCACAGGGTGGGTTTCTGGCTTACGTGACAGTGGCATGGATTTGGCAACGCAATCACCGCTGCCCCATATTCCTCAAAGCCCCTGGACTCCCCTT